TAGTTATTACTATGTATGTGTCTATATGTGGATATGTGAACATAAGTGTGACAGCAGAGGTCAGAAGAGGGCATCACATCCCCTGGAACTGGAGTTGTAGGTGGTTGTGAGCTGCCCAGTGTGGGTGCTGGGAACCAAACTCTGGTTCTCCAGAAGAGTGTCAAATGCTTTTAACCACAGAGCCATCTCTCTAACCTACTTCCTTTTATTTTAGACAGATCTCACATAGCATAGGTTAGCTCCAAAACTGGCTCTGTAGCTGAGGTTAACCTTCAACTGCCTCCACCTTCCAAGTACTGGGATTACAGGTATGAACCATCATGCCCAGTTTTTTCATTTTGTTTTTAATTTAGAGAGCCAGAGAGAGTGCATGTGACTCTGGCAGACGACCTGAGTTCAGTCCCCAGCACCCACATTGGGCAGCTCACAACCGCCTGTAACTCTAGGTCCAGGGAATCTGACACCCTCTTCTGGACTCTAGGGCACCTGTACTCACACATGCACATACATGTGCACACACACAAATACACACACACTTAAAAATAAAATGAATAGGGCTGAAGAGATGACTCAGTGGTTAAGAGCACTTGTTGCTCTTGCAGAGGGTCTGAGGTTGGTTCCCAGCATCCATGCCAAGCAACACACAACCACCTGTAACTCCAGCCTCAGGAGATCTGACACCTTCTTCTGCCCTCTTTGGGTACCTGCACTCATGTGCACATATCCACACACAAATATACACACATATGTATAATTTAAAAATAAAATAAATCTTAAAAATAAATATTTTTTTAATGTTTTGAGACAAGACTTTTCTATGTAGCCTATACCAGCCTAGAACTCTCAGTAATCCTCCTTCCTCCACCTCTCAAATGCAGTATCACAGATGAGCATCACCATGCCCAGTGGTCAATCCTTTTACACATCTACTGCAGGTCAGGTAGTGTGTTAGGCCAGCAGTTCTCAACCAGGAACTATTCCCCTCCACCTCCAGGAGATGTTCAGCAATATCTGGAGACAGTTGAAGTAAGCATCATTGTGGTTTCTAATGGGTAGGGCCCCAGGCTGCTGCTGAACACCCAGCAAGGGGGAGGACAGCCCCACAACAAAGAGTGACAGGGCCAACATGTCAGCACTGCAGGGGCTGAAACCCCAACCCAGGCTACAGGCAGCGCCTCCATGGAAACAATCAAAGTAAAGATTTCTACAGCTGGGAAGTGTTCAACAGGAACGTGGAGCAGGCAGGGGAGGGTGACTACCTGGCCTGCAGCTTTTCACAAGCCATTTGGTCCATTTAAGCTGAAAGAAATGAGGGAATGAGACCAGATGTCAGTAGAGAAATGTTGAGACAAAAAAAGGTAGGTACAAAGACCCTGGGGCACTGAGTATGTATGCAGTATGTTTGAGGGCAGAAGAACAGCCAGCCAGGCATAAACATGAAGATCAGGTTGACAGCAAGAGCTGGACCGAATGCAACACACATACCAACACATCTCAGCCATGGTGCAAACCTCTCCCTTCCTCCACAGCCACCCCTGGCTGAACTCTCCCCTTCCCCCACAGTCACCCTGGCTGAACTCCCCCTTTCTCCACAAAGCGATCCTAGCTGCTCCTTTAGGTAGTATCGGGAGCAACAGTCATTAAGGTGTCACTCAGACCTGGAGAGGGACAGTGCTCTCGGGGGCCCCTAAGACAACTGTCTGAGCCATTTTCCAACCCAAAATTCCAGGCTCAGGATGTAGCTCAGCTGGTCGAGTGCTTACTGAGCTTACACAAAGCCCTGAGCGCAATCTCCAACACCACATTAACCAGGTGTGGTGGCACATGTCTGTAATCCCAGTACAGCAGATATGGAGGTAGGAGGATTGGGCATTCAAGGTCATCCTTACCAGTATAGTGAATTAGAGGCCAGCCTAGACTATATGAGACTCTGTCTCAAAAAGAAAAAAAAAGAGAGAGAGAAGAAAAAAAAAAAAAGGCCAGGCAAATTCTCTCTTCCCACGAACAGAGGAATAAATCAAGGCAGTGTGGCCCCTAGAGGCCTGGAGGTAGTTTCCTAGTGCTAGGCAGGGACAGAGCATGAAGCATTGTGAAAGTGGGTGGGTGGATGGTGGGATGGATGGATGGATGGATGGATGGGTGGACGGACAGGTGGACTGGATGGATAGATACATGGATGGATGGATACATGGACGGATGGCAGGCACTGTATCAGGGTGCTTGGCTACCTGCCCACTGCCCTCTGAAGAGCCCAATCACCAGGCTATACCCTCAGTCAAAACACAGATGCCCCAGGAGGATGTCAGGCAGGGAACAAAGAACAGAGATATGATGAGCCTTTAGGCTCAGCAATACTCCAAGCACCCAACTCTACTCCAGTCCCAGTCTGGAAGGCCCCAATCTCTGTGCCAACTGCAAACAGCAGCCCTCAGCCCTAAGACTCCCAGGGGCAGGGAGGACAGCCCAGTAAGTAAAGACAAGGCTCCAACAATGGGACCCTACCTGGCCCAGCAGAGCACTAAGCACTCACCTATGCTGCCTGCCTTCCTGGTATTTATTTGCAAGATAAATGAAAGACTTAAATGAATGGGGAAACTAAAGATATAATACCCATCAGTGAACAAATACAGCTGTGAAAGGGTGCAAGATCCTGGGGCAGAGTGAGTCTCTACTCGAATGTCTGCAGAGCTCTCTCTGCTGCACAATCCAGCTACCCCCAACTGCCCCATGAGGGCAGAGACAGGAGTGGGGATACAGGCAAGGGAGGGTCTAGAGCAAGGGCTTCAGGAATCAGGAAGATTGCCCTCAGGTCCTACCTAGCATCCTCCAGTTTTGTGTTCCTGCGGATGCCACAGCCTGAGGACTTGTTCCCATACCTCTCAGTGGAACAGCAGTGCCCACCTTGTAGGAGACACTGGAAGGAAGACTTCAGTGCCATTCTATGACAAAGTACCCGACACAGTGCCTGACACTTGAGTGTCCCAAACTGGGAGCTATTGTGGGACTAATCTGGACAGCATAGCTCAGAGTACCAAGACCCTTCCATCCCTGAGGTGGGTAAGAATAAAAAGTAAAGAGAATAAAAAGTAGAATGTGGAGCTGGAGAACAGTTAGGAACACGGGCTGCTCTGGTAAAGGATTCAGGTTCAGTTCCCAGCACCCACATGGCTGAAAACAACTGTCTGTAACTCCAGTTCCAGGGAATCTGATGCCCTCTTCTGGTCTCTGTGGGCATTGCACACACATGGTACACTTACATGCACACAGGCAAAACTCATACACATAAAATATAAATAAATCAGAATAAAAGTAGAATGTAACTGGTTCTAAAGACCACATCCCAGTAGGAGTATGCAGACAGGCCTTTCTGGAGAAGGTAGACTTTACAAAAGGCTTGGAAGAGCTACAGGGTGGGCTATGACGTGGGCAAAGTGTGGGCAGGGCTTGTACATACACAATGATAGACACCTAATCATCAGCTCCTGACAAGCCTCTGGTTATGACATATGTGTGAGCTAGCAAGAGCAGATACCTCCTTCTGGTTTGGGTGTTCTACCTCTACCACTAGGAGCCCCAGAGTCCAGACAGAGAGCTGTCCAGACCTAATTAAGTAAGGTCTCTCTGCCAAGGAGGATTTGTAAGAATGGGAACAGGGGCAGACCAGCTGTACCAGAAGACAGGAATCTAAGCTGACTAGGGCTGGTCAGGAGGAGAAGGAAGTCCGAGAGAATTGCCTCCAGTCACTCTAACACTCCTGGATCCTGCAGGGCTGGTCAGGAGGAGAAGGAAGTCCGAAAGAATTGCCTCCAGTCACTAACACTCCTGGATCCTGCAGAGCCCTGTGCCTTCCTTCCCCCTGTGCAGGGAGCTCATATGTATCTGGGGCAAGCTCCATGCCTGAAGGCCCACTCTTCCTTGGAGGTCAGAGCCTCTAGCACAACCCTAAGTCACACTGGTGACCACAGACATCCACATTTACACTGAGCCCTAAGAGCGGATCTAATCTAAGGCCATCCCTGGCCTCCCTGAGGACCCGTTTCTGGCACTCACTGTGGAGTGAGTCAATTCCCTTCCACCCCCCGAGAACTGGACTCTTTGGTCTTGGGTCACTGAGTCATCTCATGTCACCACAAAAACCACCTCCCACTTGCCTCCCCCCTGGACAGGTCAGCCTACAGGGTAGGCTCAGGAAGAGGGAAGCATGCCCGTCTCTGTAGCTGTGGAGCGAAGCAAAGTAGTGAGCTTTGTAGAAAGCTCCCCCCAGAGCCAGGTGTGGTGCGCATGCCTTTAATCCCAGCATTTGGGAAGCAGAGGCAGGTGGATCTTTGTGAGTTCTAGGCCAGCCTGGTCTACATAGTGAGTTTCAGGACAGCTGGGGCTACAGGAAGACCCTGTCTAAAAAAAAAAAAAAAAAAAAAAAAAGCTCCCTCCAGGCTCTTCACAAAAGGTGAGTTTTCCGGGCCTCAATCTTCTGTAAAATGGGGTTATTCTGTCTTACCAATAAGAAGATAGTAAAAAACAAACAAGAAACAACTGACCTTGTTTTTGTGATGGGTAAGGTGAAAACTGACTACTGGGGTCTTTGCTTACTCCATTTTCCTGGAGGCTCCTTGAAAAATACATATGCCTTTCCTGACAGCTACCCTCACCTCCACTGCCCCCTTCTCGAAAACAGAGCATTCTGTTAGTGACCCTGGACGCATCATGCGGGTCCTTGGAAGGAGTCTGGGCAAGTGTCAGAGAAGTGGGTCACTGCCCAACTGTGCCTTTATTAAGCGCCTAGTACACTTCTGGCTCAGGGCATTTGGACACACAGCCCAAGTGTTTCTGAGAAAGAAAACTATGGCCGCAGAGAAGGAAGTCTTCCGAAGAGAACACTGACCTGGGCAAGGCACCTGCCTCAGCACAGCCTGTCCCGCTTCAAGCGCAGGCAGAAGGGTCGTGCAGCGGTCCCAGGGGTAAAGGGGGTGGGGGGGTTCCTGAGCCTGGCGGGGTCTTACCCGGAGCGGCTGGCACGGTGCGATACTGCTGCAGAGACCGGAGTTCCACCCCTGCCTCCCATGTGCCAGGCTTCGGGTCCCCAGATGCGCGCCCGCAGGTCTGCCGGGGATCGGACAGCGATTCCCAGCTCCCAGCGCCTCGCGCTGTCCCGGGAAGGCGCAGCAGCCGGGAAGGCATCCTGATGC